CAAATCACGGTCCAATCGAGTTGCTCCAGTTGTGCCGCTGCTGGCAACGCAGCTCGTCCAAATCACCAACTAAACTAGTGGGCGGATCGCTTTTGGGGGCGGAGTGCTTTCGAAGTCCTGCTCAGCAACCAGCGCACCTTTCGTCGTGAAAGCGCCACACCTCGCTTCCTTGGCAGCCAAGTAACTGCTTCGTGTGGTGCATATGCTTCCCCGATGCGCTCCCTCTTTATCGTAATCGCTGCCTTTAAGGTAGACGTGCTCAGTGGTGCCCAGATAAAGAGGAAACCATGGAATCAGCCCGGAACTCGAAAGCTGAGCCCCTTCCTTGATCGTTGGTTTCCGTACCGATGTAACTTTCCTGGTACTGCCCTTTTTAACGCTAACGCTACCTCTGCTAGGCAGCTAGAGACTTGCAGCGATGGCTAGCCAGCCGGTAGGCGTGTCCCGTCGATTGTGCCGCGGGAAACCATGCTAGGCGGCCGGTGGTATATTTTTCGCACCGAATTGCGAGCCGGACTGCACCTTTAGGGGATCCGCCTGTCTTTCCTCTTGTGAGATTCTCCCTTGGACCTTCGACATTAACGTGGGTCGTAAAAAATTCTCCTTCAAAAACCGTCCGCAGAATTAGACCGCCAAATCAATCCGTTCGGTGGCTAGGATAGCGCTGTTTGCGTATTTTTTGATAATTATTTGGATCAAATTTTCACTTTCAGTACACTCCGAACCTCTATTTCACTATGGAGTGCTTTCATACAACAACTCTATCCTGAAGCGTGCTCGTATATTAGAAGTCATTTCATGTTTTTCACCTTTTCTATGGCCGTGTTTTTCGTGGATTCATCCATCCAATCATTGTGAGTGACTAAATCCGCAAACGATTCGCGTAGTTTGCCGATCATCTCCTAAAAAAGCTTGTGGTCGCATTTTGCTAGAAGTCAGAATCCAACTGAAGACTTGCCACTCATTACTAACCAATGCTTCTCTTTTGTCTTCGGAGTTGAAATGAGCCTGAACATAGACTGCACCAGCTGCGAGCGGTAACACCTGAAGAACATGAAGAATAAAAGAGGGCAGTGCGTACATCAGAAGTATTCCAAACCGAGCTGGGCACTTGAGCGCAGTCCTTCCATCTTGGCGATCTTTGTTGTTGACCGGTCATCACCCGCGAAAAGTCCTGCAACACAAGCCAATAGCCTTCAAATTTCCAATATTTACTTTTGAGCAAATCTATGAAGAGCTACTGAAGAGGTTTAAAGTTTGAAGGTATGCTAGGCAGCAATTGATCAACGAGTAAAGGAAGAGATGAAAGAGATGGTCTGCATTTGTCGATTCACAGCCCCGGAATCTATACCCCACAACCTCCACAGAATCCTCTGAACCGAACAATGGAAGATTATTTTCATTGTCAGTAGCCTTGGTACAGCCTATACGATGTCCATGAACGGTGTACATGCCAATATTATGTCGATCGATTTATTTAACGCCATGATTCTCAGGAAAATCATGGAGGTTCGAAACAAGGCTTGCCTCGTGGCAACCACTCCGGCCAAGCTGACAGGATAACCAGCTCAACGGCCTGTTGGCTTCAGTGGCTAAGACCTTTGATTTTTCTTTTTTTTCCGATGTGACCAGATTTGATTTTTCTGGAAACTAATCCAGCACCTCATTTTTATGAGTACCACTAGTGTCTGATGGTCAGGCTGAGCAAAGATTCCATCACAATATAGGCATCAGCAAGCTCTCAAACAACGTTGTAGCGCAGTTATGTGCTACTCGGGTTTTGGCTTTTCCTTGGCAGATGATTGTATTATGACATGTCCACAAGACCTCAGAAATTTTAAAAAATTTACTTCGAATTCCAGATGCGTTCAGCCCGCAAGACAAAGTCTGTTTTTTTCTGGGCCTATTCGACACTACATTGCAGGGAGAATTCGCGAAGGATTTCGAGCGGGGAGTTCCTTCAATCCCGCGCATATACCCTGGTCTCGCACGAGCCGATAACAATGTTTTTCGCTCCTTGGCTCACTTCTTCTGGAAGGAATCTTACTATAACCAACATGATGTCAAAAATGACATTTAATTTTTCTTCGACAAGAAGTCGTCTATGGTACTGTACAAGAAGGAGTTAAGAGGCTACCCACGCTTAGTAGTGAGCAGGGTGAATATCGGTCGAGGATTCCTCAACGGCTTGTCGAGGATTTTCGCCTGATCAGTTACGCTCTCCCGCGCGACATTCACACTCGCCATGCGCGAGCCGTCTGTGCTCTCCGCGCGTACGTTCACTCTCGGCACTACTCTCGCACAGTACAGAGCCATGGTCGAGGAATTCCTCGACCGTTATTCACCCTGGTAGTTGTATGTATAATAAAGAATCTTGTCTGAAAAAGCAAAAAAAATTAATTCGTAAAACGGCCGGGGTGGCCCAGAAATTTCTGAGCGACCTAATATAATTCCAGCGTTTTCATTGCTCCTGTCCCAAATATATTGAATTGAAACAAACTACACTGGTGTGCAAAACTTAGGGACGAACGTAGCTTTTCCAACGACGTGTTACTGGCGCGTAACATGACTCTATGGAACCTAACCACACATACAAAGAGCTGCACAGGGCACTAAAGAAAGCAGTTAACAGGAACCGTTAAACGGTCCACAAAGCTGTCAAAAGCAGGGTCAACCGTCACGTTGGACCGACATTGGACCGATATTGGAGCGACGTTGGACCGATGTTGACCGCTCTCCGCGCCGGCATTCACTCTCGCCACCCGCGAGCCGTCTGTGTCTCCGTGCGTACGTTCACTCTCGGCATTACTCTCACACGTAGAGAGTCGCGTTGGACTTTGTCCAACGGACGGTTGACCCTGGTCAAAAGCTTATGGTACCTCATCTGTCTCTTCCCTAAGTTTTGCACACCAGTGTTATATACATGTATATACAGTATATAGGAACCTGTTTTATATTCTCAAATCGTTCGTCGAGAAGTCGCACGCTCGCTTGCACAACTCGCCAGATGATGTAGTTCACGAGTATCTCACTATCGGTATTCTTAATGAGTTCCGATGCCTGAAATTTGATATAAAGTCTTAGAATGCATTATTACAAAGACGACAGCCGTTATGCGTGCGTCTCGGCATCTTTCTAATATTTTTTTCAACAGCTTCCTCTCATTATATAGTTTCATCATAGATGACGAGCAGTTCCCGAAAGATTAAAAATTCCGAAATAGTAAAGAAAAAAGGCCTCCTCTGGGCGGTAATGTGACACGCAACCGCGTCACGTTGTCGTCAATGTGTTAAGAGAAGAAAATGGTATCCGCGGATGTTGGGTATAACTGACCTTTCTGAAGGAACTCAATCTCAGCGACTATAATTTCAGTGTCATTGTTGAACATTTTGATCATTTCTGATGGAGCGATTTGTTGGAAGTATGCCACCCAATCGATCTAAAAAGCTGTACTTTTAAGTTTTTCTATATGTCAGTAACAATCTCGGTTATACTGTATTTTCCGTTTTACAGGAACATTGAAGTGGCAGTAAAAAAAGAACCAAAGGAAATAGTTGGAGAGCAGCAAAATTTGCTTTCCCACTGCGGGAGGCAGGTGACGAGGAACAGCACATCATGAAAGCTAAGGAAGCCTCCAACGCCCAATACTGCGGAGGAAGTTTAGGAAAAAGTTCAAGGAAAGCTCCTCTTTAGGAAACTGTACGTCACGAGATCGTTATATTAATTTCGAACCTTTGGAAATCATTCTCTTCCATACTCACGCAAGGGATTAGTTTATTCAAGATTACTCCAAAAGAACAAATCTTTAGAGCAAATCTCTCCGTGAGTGAGGTAGCAGGGTCTCCAAACACAGAATTCTAGATACTGTCGCGATCCAAAAGTGCGTGACGAGGGTGCTAAGGCATGCCGTGACCGCTGCGGTTGCTGCCATTATTATTCGTTCGCAGAATGTGGTTGTCTGCACCCTCTAGTACCTCTCTGGCTTACTCCTCATCCCAGCGACGCTGCGTGTCTTTATCTTACAAGAATCGATCTCACAAAGAATGTTTCTGATATGTATGAGAAATGTTTCTGAAATGTCTCTGATGTCACTGTTTTCTAAACTCCTTTTGTATTTTTCTTCAATGACATCTTGTTTCAGTTAATGACAATTTTCGATCGCAGAGTGCCTTTCATTTCCCCTCAGAGCTTTATGATAAAAAACCTTTTCCTGTCTCTGTTGGAATAATTCAGCATGAAGGTGAGCAGTAGTCGTATAAGAAGCTTCTTCGCCCGCAACTTCGCTCTCGCTTTGGAGAAGGTGTCTCCCAGACCCCTTGTGCCCCAGCTCGATCCATTAAGCCCGTAGGCTAATACTAGTGACATCATGGAAGATATGACGACTCGCGGCTCGAAAGTGCAAGACGTCTCCGGCATGCTTCCACCGCAACAAACGCCTCGTTCGCACCCTTCCTGCAGCTAGCCGAAATAGCGTTGGTGCTAACTGGCGCGCTCTTC